GTGAAGGTTGAGGATGAGGATGAGGAGTGGGTTGTGAAGGGTGGGGAGAGATGGGGGAGGGGGGGGAAAGAAGAGGAGGGAGAGGGGGGAGTGAAGGGGGAATGAGGGGAGGAGGAGGAGAGGAAAGAAGGGAGGAGGGGAGAGTAAAGGGGGGGGTGGGGAGGAAGGGAAGAGGAACAGGAAGGGGTAGTAAGGAGTGAAAAAGAAGAAAATGAAGAAGTTAGAAGGAGAAGGAGGAAGAAGAGAGAAGACTAAGAGAGAATGAGAGGGAGGGGAAGAGAGGAAGAGAGACAAATATATCAAATACCCTAATGCATTACGAATACATATTTTAACCTCTCGATTCAAGTAAGGAACAGAGTTGCCTAAACTACATGCAATTATCGACTTTCAGAGCAAATACTTTGTGGAATGATCTCACCGCCCCCCGCTCTCTCTCTCTCTCTCCGCTCTCTTCTCTCTCTCTCTCTCTCTCTCTTCCCTCGTCTCTCTGTCTGGGGAGGGGGGAGGGGGGGGTAATGTCTCCAGACGACTTTGGGGAAATTGGCCGCGTCAACCTTTCATATTTATAACGCCTAACTTCATGACCAAAATAACTTCAGCCAAACCAGGGCTTACGCGAACCACTTCAGCGACTCCTTTCCAGTGATTTATTTGAAAGTTATGAAGGAAAATGGCATAACAAAGATCTTGATCAGTGTCTGTGTCTACACGCACATACAAACAGATATATACATATACTTACATATATATATGTGTGTTTGTGTGTGTGTGTTTGTGTGTACACGTCTATATATATATATATATATATATATATATATATATATATATATATATGTATATATATATATATAATATATATATATATATATAATTATATATATACATATATATATATATATATATATATATATATATATATATATATATAATACATATATATATATATATATATATATATATATATATATATATATATATATATATATAAGAGAGAGAGAGAGCGACTGATAGAGAAGAGTCCTTCCCCATCGCGAAAAAACCGCAGAAGCGGGTCGCTCGACGAGGGCGCCGCCCCCGCGCAGACAAATGAACATCAACACATACATCAGTTCAGCGCAGGATGACAAACAGCAGCTAAGTAAACACGTGGCGGATGAGCAACATTAATTCACTCTCTGTGTGAATTACTAAGGGAGAATCTAGAATGCCACATCCGCGCTTGACGTATCACAGTGGTTAGGAAATGAATTGCATTTGGGAAAAGTGCAGACATTTCCTGACCCAAAGAGATCTTCCCAAAACAATCTTAAAGGATGGAGAGAATCATAAAATCAGCTGATGGACGTTAAATAACTTTGTTTACCGGAGACTACGATCTTGCAAGAGTAAACATCACGACAGTTTTGAAATAAATCAATAAGTGGCTTTGCATTATGAGGAAATTGATAAATCAGAGGGAGAAGTTTTTGTTTGAAAATATAGGGCGACAGTTCCCGCCATTTTTTCAAATAACCCGCGCCAAAAGAAATTCCGAATCGCCTTATCGTCAATTTCGACCCAAATATATTCCCCAGTCGCGCGTGAAGACCTTATCCCACACCTATTCATCTTGATTAACATCTTTACACACAAAAAGAGAGAAAAAAAACGGGAGGGAATCCATAAATGACACGACATTATGGGCGTGAGTGAATGGGCGTTTGCGTTCGAGGAGTGTGTGATTTACGAGAGCGAATCCGCCCGTGGCTCGAGATCTGCCTCGGCCGTGTCTCGTGCGCGGAGCCGAGCGCTAAGAGAGGGGGATATAGATGGCTTCGGCGATGAACTTTATCGACGTGAATGTTGCCAAGTTAAGGAAATGAGAACGATGTGGAAGAGGAAGGAAGAGAAGACAAAAAGGAAAAAGATGAAGATTGATAGACATAAAACGTATATATATATCTATATATATATATATATGAGAAAGAGAGGCAGAGAGAGAGAGAAGAGAGAGAGAGAGAGAGAGAGAGAGAGAGAGAGAGAGAGAGAGAGAGAGAGAGAGAGAGAGAGAGAGAGAGAGAGAGAGAAAGAGAGACAGAGGAGAAAGAGAAAGAGAGAGAGAGATAGAGAGATAGAGAGATAGAGAGAGAGAGAGAGAGAGAGAGAGAGAGAGAGAGAGAGAGAGAGAGAGAGAGAGAGAGAGAGAGAGAGAGAGAGAGAGAGAGAGAGAGAGAGAGAGAGAGAAGAGAGACATAAAGAGAGAGAGAGATAGATAGATAGATAGATAGAGATAGAGAGAGAGAGAGAGAGAGAGAGAGAGAGAGAGAGAGAGAGAGAGAGAGAGAGAGAGAGAGAGAGAGAGAGAGAGAGAGAAGAGAGAGAGAAAAGAGAGAGAGAAGCAGGAGAGAGAGAAGAGAGAGAGAGAGAGAGACAGACAGTCAATGAAATAGATAGATAGAGAGAGATAAAGAGAAAGAGAGATAGTGAGAAAGAGAGAGAGACAGACAATGAGATAGATAGAGAGAGGGCGAGATAGATAGATAGATAGTTGAATAGGGAGAGAGACAGAGAAAAAGACAGAGAGGTAGACAGACATTGAGATAAAGAGAGCGAAAGCGAGAGAGAGAGAGAGAGAGAGAGAGAGAGAGAGAGAGAGAGAGAGAGAGAGAGAGAGAGAGAGAGAGAGAGAGAGAGAGAGAGAGAGAGAGAGAGAGAGAGAGAGAGAGAGAGAGAGAGAGAGAGAGAGAGAGAGAGAGAGAGAGAGAGAGAGAGAGAGAGAGAGAGAGAGAGAGAGAGAGGAGAGAAGAGAGAGGGAGAGGGAAGAGAGCGAAGAGGGGAGGGGAGGGAGGAAGAGAGAGAGAGAGAGAGAGGAGAGAGAGAGAGGAGAGAGAGAAGAGAGAGAGAGAGAGAGAGAGAGAAGAGAGAGAGAGAGAGAGAGAGGGAGGGGGAGAGAGAGAGGAGAGAGAGAGAGAGAGAGAGAGAGAGAGAAGAGAGAGAGAGAGAGAGAGAAGAGAGAGAGGAGAGAGAGAGAGAGAGAGAGAGAGAGAGAGAGTGAAAAGAGAGAGACAGACAGAATGAATAGATAGATAGATAGAGAGCGAGATAGAGATAGATAATTAGATAGATATTAGCAGAGAGAGATAAGAGAGAGATGAGAGAGAGAGAAAGAGATAAGTTGTGAGAAAGAGAGAGGGAGAGAGAGAGAGAGAATATAGACAGGCAGACAGACAGGGACACAAGAATAGAGAACCAGAACGAAAGAGCAAGAGCGAGATTAAAAGAACGAGAAAGAGGGAAGGAAAGACGGAGATCTCAGAAGAAGGTTCGAGGAGCCGACGCCAAGGAAAAGAGAACTCCTGGGGCACCGGCGTCGCGACCCTACCCGCCCCTAGCACGCCTCCCACCCGCTCCTCGCTCGCCCCTCACTCGCCCCTCACTCGCCCCTCGGTCACGCGTCCGGGGGTGGCGTCTGAGGGCAGCGGCGAGCAGGGGCTTGAGGGGGCGAGGTTAGTATGATCGAGTAATAATTATGAATCAAATATATCCTCCAGTGATTGATGTATATACACGTACGCACACAGCCACAGCCACAGAACATGCTCTGGAAATACAGTTTTTACATTTCAGTCATTGCCTTTTCTATGTATATTTTTCATTCAACTTGATTCGCTTTCCCTAATGAATTTCGCACCGTGTTTATTGATCCCCCGTTTTCTTTTCATTAGACGCCATTTAACTTGGTCCCGCGTTTCATTGCCCAGGAGAAAGGAAATCAGACCTTCGCGCGTTCCTCCACACGGACCAAGATACCTTAACCTC